TGTTACGGGGCATTTACATTTTTAAGGGGGCTGTTAAATTACAGTTAATTGAATTAATCTGAATGCCTGTCTTTAAAGGGGGAGGCTCTGAATTTCTTTTTAGCCCTTCTTTTCAAGGGACAGGCCAGCGAACGCATCACATCCTAGTGGGAAAACCCCACCCCCCACATGGTCAAAAATAAGGTTTCTGGCATGGCCATTTGTGGAGCGGGGCTTTTAATTAGGGGGGCAGGGGCCCCAAATGCCCCACCATAGCTACGGGCCTGGTGTGGAGGGCAGGGTTTAGGCGGGACCTCAGCTGGGTATCATGCCACAGAGTCTGCCCTCCAAAGAAGCTACTTTCTCCAGGGGGACTGACCACTGTTGTCTGGAGACCAGTTGTAATTCTGGGAGATTGCCAGCACCCCAAATGCCCCACCATAGCTACGGGCCTGGTGTGGAGGGCAGGGTTTAGGCGGGACCTCAGCTGGGTATCATGCCACAGAGTCTGCCCTCCAAAGAAGCTACTTTCTCCAGGGGGACTGACCACTGTTGTCTGGAGACCAGTTGTAATTCTGGGAGATTGCCAGCCCCCACCTGGAAGCTGGCAACCTTACGCAGAAAGTCTCCAGCCAACAGTGCATCAAAGCAGGCAAACAGGAACCTGCTCCTGAGGCAAGTACTTTATGTTGCTTTGTGCTACGGCTGACCCTTGTTGTGAGGATAACATGGAGGAGGAATGTCAGACACTCTGGGTCCCCCTCAGGGAGGAGAGCAGATTTATCCTCTAGTTAAAACATCTGAGCTGAACAGAACTACTGTCAGTTCTAGCCCCGTGCTGGCGTGAGCTACCAGCCTTGTCCCCAGCTCGCCATCCACCCAGCGGTTTGAAAGCTTCGGCGAGTAGATAAAATGGGTACCACTCCTTAGAGAGGGTGGGCACACTAAACCCCCCGGTGGGGGAGGTGTTAGCCGGCGAACGGAAGGTCCAGCGCGTGAGATCGAAAAGCCTAGAAAGATTTAATGGGCCGTCCAGCCAGGCGGCGGCAGTGCTGCGCTGCAATTGAAGCAGTCCTGGAGAAAGCTGACGACATCAAGCCACGCCGAGGGAAAAATGCTGTTGGAACATGTCTGACCTTACTGCTGAACAAACTCCCCATCGGCTGCAAGCGTGTGTGATTTAAAGATGTATATGTTGTCCTCCCTTACTCCTTTGAATCACTGTTAGTCCCTTGTGTATTTGAGTAACTGTAAATTGCTCAGAGCCAGCAGCTCTGCAGGATTGAGTGATTAATAAATTGAAAGATTGTTGTTGTTGTTGTTGTTGTTGTTGTTGTTATTATTATTATTATTATTATTATTATTATTATAATATAAATGGATAAATCTGGAGCTCTCTTCAGTTTGGAAGCTCAGAAAGACAGTCACGCCTATTCTGGGGTAGATAGCCTTGCCCTAGGTTTCCTGGTTTTGTGTGGGGATGAGCAAATGTTCCCCTGTTTTGTTTGTTCCTTTTTATACACATTCACATGCTTCTCGACAGTTTTGGTTCTTCATTCTTTGCGTCCAGTTCCGTTGGTCCCTGTGTTGTGGCCTTGGCATGGTATTTCCGTGAACCATGGTGCTCATTTATGTGGAGTGCTAATACAACATAATCAACATTTGGGAAAATGCTTATTTTACCCCTGGGGGAAATCGCACAAGAAGAACCGAGAAACTTGATTTGCACAATGTAGACCAGAGGAGGGATTTAGAGGAGAGGGAGGGATAAGAAGTGTGAAATCATCCCTCGTTATGAGCTGGTGGCTTTTTGAACGTCTGCTTTGGGTGGCGAGAAAGTGTCTTCCTATCACCCGGAGTACCTGTGGAGCCCCACACTGCAACTGCAAGCAATCCTCATCTGTTGAATCCTTACAGACAAATGGATTGTTTCCGCCTCCTCCTGCTGCCTCATCTCAAAGAAGGATCTCACGGGGTAACTCAAGATGTAGGTGAAAAAAAAAAAGAACTCAAACAATCAAAGGGGATGAAACATCGCTGCAAATAAAAGCTTAAGTGTCTGGGGCTATTAAACGTAGAGTAAAAGAAGGGCAAGGGAGTACACGACTATGATGTACACAGTTGTACAATGTGAAGAACGTTAAAAGAGACGGAAGCGGCTTTCTGTAACAATACTAGAACTTGACACTCGGTTCAGAAGAACAGACTCTAAAAGTAGTTCTTCACATACAATGGACAATAGCAAGAGTTCTGAGAGAACTGTGACTGACCCAAGGTCACCCAGCAGCCTTGGCGGGGAGGAGGGGGGAATCCAACTCGGTTCTTCAGATTAGAGTTTTCCGCTCTTCACCACCACACCACGCTGTCTCTCAATGATCTCTCATTAATCCAACAGAATGCATAATTACTGGAGTAACACAGGAGACTATAATACAAATCAGGGCCTCTCTGCTTTGAATCTCACGTCTGCCGTAAATCCGCCACAAGCTACTCAACCTTGCATCCCATCAGGGGATATTACTACTGACCTGCCCCTGCAAGGTACTGGTCAGGATTACAAAATGAGGTTTGTCAATCCTAGGCTTTGCCAAGTCCCCCCGGGGGGCGGGGAAACCCCGCCCCAGAGGCCCATTCCCCGCCACCGGCGGATCGGGCCCCAGGCGGAACCCCACCTCGGCGTGCGCGTCACCAGGAAGTGACGTTATGATGCTGGGCACGCTGGGGGTGGGGCCACGGTCATCCGAGGGAAAACTCTATGGTCACCACTTCCTGGTGGTGTGCGTGTGGCACGCGCGCGCTCCAGCCGTGGACCGGGAGTCCCCCGGTAAGTAGTTTTTTCGACTTGGCAACCCTAGTCAATCCCTTTGAATATTTACAAATCCTAGTCAAGTACTATTATGAATTGGAAATGCTGAGAAGAAATTCAGATAAGAATACAAGAAAGATTCAGAGGATATGCATGAGAGCACTGATTTTGCCCATGTTTGCTTCAGTTCTGCTTTGGTCCGTCTAATTTTCACTCCCATCTATCCATTTAGCACCTTTGCATGTCCCGGCCCCAGACCCTGCTGGAAACAGCTTGCAGCAATAAAACAATGCGAACAAGTCAATAAAAACAACTGGAGCCAATGGAACCAATAAAAATAAGTCAATGGAAACATGCCAGGGCATAAAGTAGCATAAAACAAACAAAATAGTCTAGAACAATATTGATAAAACAGTCTTCAGGTTCAGAGTGCATCAGAAATGGATCCCAATAGGTAGGTAGGTAGGTAGGTAGATAGACAGACAGACAGATGATGGATGGATGAATGGGCAGACAGATGGATAGATGGTTGGATAGATGGATACATGGACGGACGGACGGACGGATGGATGATAGATGGCTGGCTGGCTGGCTGTGGATCCAACTATACTCTTCCTCCAATGGAAGAGCAAGTTGGAGGAATTCTTGGACTGGACACAGGCCTCAAACCTGAGCCAAAAATTAAAGGTTGGGGTATAAATATTTTAACAAATGAATGAATAAATAATAAACTTTGCTCAGTGGAGTAATGGGATTGGACAAAGATCTACCCCACTGTCTGTCCATACATCCATACATCTACCCACCCAGCTATCTATTCCTGCTTTACCCCAAAGAGCTTAGGAGAACATATATGATTCTCCCTCCACAATTTTATCCTCACAACCACTCTGTGAGGTAGGACAGGTTCAGGAGGAAAAAAAAAACATGACCGGCCCAAAGCAACACGGAGAGCTGCATGGCTGAACAGGAATTTGAACCAAGATCTCCCAGGTCCTAGTTCACCACTCTAACCATTATGCCACACTACCTCACACGTTTCCATGTCCTCCCAGCCACGCAGAAATATCAAGGCCGGCTGAACTTACCACCTGCAGAAGAGCCAGGTATCCTGCTCCAACGTTATCAAAGTTGACCTTCACTTTTGTCCAGTACAACTCTCCTGTCTCATTCAGGCTCTGACACTCGCTCATGTTGTTGACAAGGGTGTGATCCAACGGCAGGTCATTCTCCGTCTTGTTAATGCATTTTCCAAACTTGCCGGCAAACAGGTTGACTCCCATGATGCTGAAGATGAGCCAAAAAATGAGGCAGACAAGCAGAACGTTCATGATAGAAGGGATGGCACCTACCAAGGCATTGACCACCACCTTTGACGAATGAGAAGAAAGCATGCCGTTACTGTGAGCCACAGCACCGAACTGCCTACTCTACATAACATCCAAAATCAGGCCAGGACTCTTGCGGAAGGGCAGATTCACACCGGCGATGGCCAAAGGATTGAAAGAACCCAGGACTCTTTTTAACTAATGGAAGATCCTTTTTAACAAAGGGGGGGGGGAATCCCAGTGGGTTTTCCGTCAAGGCAACCATCCAACTGTGGCCCATGTAAGATGAAGTAATGGCTCTGGAAGAGCTGAACGAACAGCTCTGACCAGCAAGTAGAGTGACAGCCTTTCCATACAGCTGAGCCTGCATTAGACAGGACTAACTGACTAGTGATAGATCAAGATGAGTAGCTGTGTTTGTCTGTAGCAGTACAAAAGAGCAAGAGTCCAGTAGCACCTTAAAGAGAGAGAAGAAAGAAGAGTGAATTTATACCCCGCCCTTCACTACCCAAAGGAGTCTCAGAGCGGCTTACAATCTCCTTTCCCTTCCTCTCCCCACAACAGACACCCGGTGAGGTAGGTGGGGCTGAGAGAGCTCTTTCGAGGACTGCTCTTGTGAGAACAGCTCGGAGAGGACTGTGGCTTGCCCAAGGTCACCTAGCAGCTGCATGTGGAGAAGTGGGGAATCAAACCCAGTTCTCTCAGATTAGAGTCTGCAGTACTAACCACTACACCAAACCGAATTTGTGATGGGGATGAGCTTTCCTGAGTCACTGCTCACTTCTTCAGATATTTCTTCAGATCTGAAGAAGTGAGCAGTGACCCGCGAAAGCTCGTCCCCCTGCCACCAATTTTGTTAGTCTTCATGGTGCTCCTGGACTCTTGCTCTTTTCTACTGACTGGTGAGGGGGTCGCCAGCTTCTGACCTGGAGACCGTGCACCTTGTTTGAACAGCTTCAGGGCAGCAAGATGTGGTTCGGACTCATTGTCAGAGTCCCGCTTCTTTGCAGCCGGTGATGGTGTTCTGCGGTACCAGCACGTAAGCCGCTGGTACCCAAATGAGATCTTGCTGATCCGGAGTTGTTAAAGCAGGATGCTGCCTCCAGCTTGGGAGTTGGTTACAGGTAGTGTTCCCTCTAAGCTGAATTAGTGTGAGCTAGCTCACAGTCTTTTAGCCTCTGGCTCACAGATTTTTGTCTCAGCTCAGGAAGGATGGCTCCCGAGCAAACTGATTTATGCCGTAGCCAAATCGCTCGCTCACAACTTTAATTCTCGTAGCTCACGAAGTAGAATTTTTGCTCACAAGACTCCACAGCTTAGAGGGAGCATTGGTTACAGGTCACACAGGAGATGCGGGCTGGTTTCCTAGGCCTGTTCTGGACTCTCAGCAGAGTGAGGTCTCAGTGATCATGAGGGTGGCAGACTACACTGCCCTGTTTCAGGCGGCAGGCGACGTGTTACATGTTTTGACGTCCCCCAGCATTAATAACTCCCCGTAAGCGGGAAAGACAAGACTGCTAGGAAAAGCGGAAGGCAGCAGGAAAAGAGGAAGACCCAACATGAGATGGATGGACTCGATCCAGGAAGCCACAAAGGCCCTCGGTTTGCAGGACCTGAGCGAGGCTGTCAAGGATAGGATGTTTTGGGGGGCATTAATTCAGAGTGTTGTAATAAATTGGAAGCGACTGGACAGCACTGAACTCCCCTGCCCCCCCAAGCAGAGAACCAGCACAGCAGGTGGAGGGTGAGACTTGAACTTTTCCTCCTGGCAAGTTATTTTTTAAAAATTCACAGGGAGTTTTTATATGAGGGAAACATAGAAAGGTGGACTCCACACCTGCACTACTCTTGCTGTCTCGGTAGCTCTACAAATCCGAGCGAACGCCATTGCTTCAGCTTTGGAATGAGCGGGAAGCAAGCCTGGCGACCGGCTTGGAGCCTTCGTGGATTTTGATCTGTGCTGCTTTTTAAAATGTGCATCTCCATCTTTCCCTTTTTTAAAGAAAATATGCCGGTCCACTTGTTTTTGTGAATTTTAATCGATTCTTTCTTACATTGTCTAAATGCCAATGTGCTATATCGACTTTTGGAATAAACGGAAGGGATGGGACTCCTCGCCTGCAGTCCGCAATGGGACAGCCCAGTCTGCCTCCTTGAAATTCTACCCCGCTACTGCATGTGCGGAGCACACATAGGTGTGTGCAGCCCACCAGAAGAACATTATCTTATCTATAATTAATTTGTAAAGCATTAATCTGCCCCAAGCCCTTGGTGTGCGTTAAGCACGAAAGCTAGTAGTAACCTATTTCCCGATTAGTGGAGTGTGTAGAATTGTTCGTTAAGGGATGGAAATATCTTCTCAAGCTAGGTAATGTAGGCACACGGAGTAGAATAAGGACCATTTTTTCCTAATTAGCAAAATTATCAATGGCCCTAAACCTAGGGACACTCAGGTGGGCCAGTTCACCCATTACAAAGTCCTCATGTCTTTCATGTCAAGTTGACACATGTGGCCTGGAAGTTCCAGGCTCGGGTCTTATTTCTCAGGTGTGCAGGGGCCCCATTCAGGTTAGTACTGCCATGCACAGAGAGAGGGAGCTTAGCCCCCCCCCCACCGCATTGTCCCTTTCCCAACCTGAGATAGTCCTGGTGAGCCACTATTTGCCCCACCAGGGAAACGTACATATACCGATGGCTATACATAACACACATGAACACACATGAACACACATGAACACACATGGAGTTGCCTTATTTTGAATCAGACCAACAGTCCATATAGATCAGCACTGACTACTCAGACTGGTGGCAGCTCTCCGGGGTCTCAGGCAGAGTCTTTCATATCCTCTTCTGCCTGGTCCTTTTAACTGGAGATGCTGGGGAGTGAACCTGAGACCTTCTGCAGACCCAGCTGGTGCTCCAACCACTAAACCCCTCCCCAGAGTTTTCCTGATGGAGCACACAGTAGCTCTTGGGGACCATTTCAGATCAAGAAAGCAGCACAGAGAAGAAACGGATCTGAACCAGGCCTAGGAATAGCTGGGAATTAAGTTCCAAGCGTGGAACTCAGACCAGGTCTATTGACCTGGAGGCCACTTGGAGGCCACAAAGACTTTGTAATGCATGAATTGGCCCTGTCCAGGATCAGTTTGCACTGCAGTTTTTGGGTTATATAAGCAGTAACGATCATCTGTCAGCCATCTGTCACACAGACAAATGTAATGTGTGGGTTGGACAGTCAGGGAATTGTCAGCAAAAGTCCTGAAGACTATATCTGTTTTCTACAGTCTCAGAAGTAAGGAGAATTGCTCCTGACTTTGCCACCTGATTCATACATTACTTTTGTCCGTATGATCACATGCCTTGTAATGGCTGGCTCCTGAGCACAACAGACAGGAATGTGAACACATTTGCTGAACCATTCCCATGTGTTTCACTGCCACAGCAATTGAGACAAGCAAATGTGCCAAGTCTTTGCAGCACCGAAACCTCATGTTCGCTTTCTGAATTCAAGGCCTGTATAAACGTTGCGCTATCTGAGCCCACCACAGTTCCACTAACATCAACCGTCATGAGCTTCCCAAAATTAAACAGGTTCAGTTGTTTTGCTTTGTTTTTTTCTGCTGGTTTCTACCAAAGGGACATAATCCAAACCTCAGCACCATCTGCAAGCCAAATATAATCTGGAGTGCATGCAGAGACACCACCAATGCTCCCTCTAAGCTGTGGAGTCTTGTGAGCAAAAATTCTACTTTGTGAGCTACCGGCATTAAAGTTGTGAGCAAGTGATTTGGCTACTGCATCAATTAGTTTGCTCCGGAGCCATCCTTCCTGAGCTGAGATAAAAATGTGTGAGCCGGAGGCTAAAAAACTGTGAGCTAGCTCACACTAACTCAGCTTAGTAGGAACACTGGACACCACTGATAAGAAACCAACAGGGCACTGAAATAATGGGAGGCGCATGGTAGTCAACGTGGGATGCCTTTGGTCCAGATTGGACAGCTGCCTATGCGGTTCTCCAACCCATGCGGTGGAAGAGCAGGTGGGTCCCATCCACCACTGACCTAAAGAAATATTTTCAGGTGGGTAGCCATGTTGGCCTGCAGTAGAACAGTGCAATTTGAATCCAGTAGCACCTTAAAGACTAACAAGATGACCAGGGGAAAAGCTTTTAAGCATCAACGATCCCTTAATCAGATATCTGTATCTGACAAAGGGAGTGTCAGGACAGGGAGCTTTGACTTTTGACAGCTTAACCCTGGAAATCACTGATCTTAATTTATATTTATTTATTTATTTATTTCCATTTTTATCCCGCCCTCCCCGCACGCAGACTCAGGGCGGCTTACAAGGCACAAACTGCTATAAAACAGATAAATTAAAACAACAGAAGCTAAAAACATTGACAACTCACAGGATACATGAAGGAC